TAAGTTAATATATAATTATATATACAGTACCTAATTTATATATAATTAATATATAATTATATGTACAGTACCTAATTTATATATAATACTGTACAGACGATAGCAAACTCAATTTAGCCGCTCCGTAGCATGGTGCAGGGTCGAAGGAAAGTAGTTCGGCTGCTCATCCACTATTGGTCCAGATTCTATCAATCTTGTCGCAAAACGACGTTATAGGAGGTACTTTATACGAATGTTGCTACAATTTTTTCGCTATGTTATAGGAATTGTCGTTATAGGAACGCATGTTATAGGGGGGTCGACTGTATATGTATAATTATTTTATTAATTAGATGATATTTCATGATTTATTGCAAATATTAATGATACAGTTTCACATGTATTTATTCATACTGTTTTGAATTTTGTTCTTTTCAGTTTGCCTTATCGCTTGGTATTTGCAGTTGCCACAAAAGATTCTGTCTTGCTGTACGATACTCAGCATACTTTACCTTTAGCTCATGTAACTAAAATTCATTATACTCATCTGACTGATCTCGCTTGGTACTTATAATTTAAATCATAAAATACTTGAGTTTATATATTATTGTTGTTTGTTTTAATAATTTTTGAAATTTTGTTAACAGGTCTCATGATGGAAGATGTTTAATAATATCCTCAACTGATGGTTATTGTTCCTTTATTACTTTTGCCAAGGATGAACTTGGAATTCCATATACAAAAAAATCCAGCAATGAGTTGAGTAACTTTTTCATTTGTTACTGTGATTTTATTTTTAAAAATAACTTTTATATTATTGTGGGAATCCGCTGTGATGATTCCGTTTATTGATTCACCTTTATGCGGAGTCGGAGTCATGAAGTCTGCCCACATGGTCAGTGAGTTGGATTGTACTCTTTCTTGTCTTAGGAAGATTGGGAGAGCTTCCTGTTCTAGGATTCCTGATACCAGCCAAAATTTCGTGTTTGGCCTGTGAGTTGATTTCTAAAAAATTCATCTGAGGAGGAGGAGTAATAGACTCCTGATAAAGCGTATGGCATATATCATAATCAAACATCAAAACCAGTGAAACAAATAGCAAAAATTTTAATGATAAAAATTAAGAAAGAAGATAAATACAAACAAACTGGATTATATCTCAATAACTAACTATCAACATCTCTAATTGACGCGAGAGAGAGCATTTACATAGTTTTAAGCATAATATTTCTTTCCGTTAGACTGGAGCCTTTGGTGATTGGTGATGGGTGTTGGTGTTGTAGGCAAGGGAGATTTTGGGAGATAGCTTGAATCTTTGGAGAGCGAGCCTTGAAACTGGGGTGCTAGCCACTTATATCCTCGGATCGTTTCCAATTGGGTGTCAGGATTTTTCCATATGAAGGGATGCGCCCAATGAATCGTACTTGCAGGTGTCTTTTCAATGGGTGTGATAAGATCTTGCTCTGGGAAGTCAATGGAAATAAAACTTCCTTTTTGACTTTTTTTTTCACATCATTTGATGTGAAAAAATGATAATTATTATTTTTTCACAAAAATAATAATCATCATTTTTAACACAAAAATAATATTTTAGTTTTATTACTTAAAGTTTGGAGAAATCTTTCAAATTCAGGGAAGGGTTCTTGTTATATATCTTCGGATTCTCACATTATTAATTACAAAAAGTAAAATTGTGTGTAGTACCATCTATATGAGATTTTGTTATGAAGAACTTTTTATATTATTAATTAGAATAAAATGGCAAAAAGTTTAGTTTTAAAATAATGATGAGTTTTATAAAAAAAAAAAAAGTTTAAATGCTATAAAAAGTAAAATCTTCATCAAGTTCAACCCCTCTTAGGATATGACACGACTTACTCCCTTTATCTCACCACCACTTCGACATTTAGTCACCCAAGTTTAGTGTCACCCTTATATACAAATTAACATACCAAATTTAATTTCTTAATCTTTATCCCTGAGATATTAAATGAAATAGATGCCAACATACTCACACACAATCAACGAATACTTTTTTTTCTCTTCAGGAGGAGGAGAGTTGCAAAATACTCAAAGGGTTAAATTCCAATTTTTTTCTCTTGTTATGTATACATAAAAACTGGTAAGAGTAAATTGTCAAGAAGAAGATAAAAGCAACTAAAATAATAATAAATTTAAAATTTATTGATATAAAGCATCTTTGCTTTTTACAACAGGGAAAAATTATGTTAACAATTTTATAATTGTACATTGAACAAAAACCGTAATTTAAACATTTAAACTAAGGTTACAAATTTTTTCAGAGAACTGATAGAAATTTTAATATTTTATGTGTACATATAGAAATATCAAAGGCGTCATCAAATATTATAATATAAATTTATTAAACAAATACAAGATTTAAACAAGTGAGCAGGTAAATTCTCTCTTTTTTTTTTTTTTTTTCAAGAACCGCCTTATAATTTTTTTAATGATCCTGACATAATGATGTGCATGTAGATTTATTGAACAAAATTGTAATTATTTAATTGTAATTTGATTATCAGTGACTTAATCCTAATATTAATATTAGCTAAAAAATAGTGTTGATTGGTCAAAGTAAATCCTTTATTATATGTTACTTTGTCCTCAAATTCTGTATGTTTAACTATCACATTATCTGATTTCTGCTTGACAGTTTGAAATTTATTCTTTCAGGAAGATTCTCTCTTGTCAGATCAAAAATTCATCCAACCTTGACCATTTTATTACAGGGCCACTTGACAAATGTCATAATTTTTTTATTCCAATAAAGGAGGAGGAGGCGTTTTAGTCATGGAACCTGGAGTTTGTTCAACTCCTCCACTAAAATGAATTATTAATATTAACAGTCAAAATCGTTGATTTCTTGAAATTATATACATTTGAAAATAACTATAATTTAATAAATTAGAAAACAAAAATTACAAGATTTTACAAGCAATATTACTGACAAGACAGACAAAACATTCATCTGCACTTCAAGATAATAAAGAGTGCTCTTGAAAATAATAAAAAATAATAATTATTATTTTTTATATTTGATAGCCCACCTCTCTTTTTCTGTTTTTTATTTTGTAATTTATAAGAAAATTGTTTTCAGGGAAAACTTGTCATCAGAAGCAAAAACAGATTTGGCTGAACAGTTAGAAGAAATAATAAATATTGAAGAAAAGTGTAAAGATATAAAAATTAATTCCCAGTTAAATTGTTCAACTCCTTACGCAACATCCAAAAAGGGAAAATGTCTAGAAGATTATTGGAAAAATACTAAAGAAGAACAAGAACAGTGGAAATTAGTAATGGAACCATCAAACACTTCACCTGTTAAATCTACATGCACATGTGATGAACCAATAGTTATTGATTCTGAAGGTGAAGATAAGAAACTCTCTGCAAAGACACTTGTTTTAGTTGAAAAGTTTGAAGAAAATGTGCATAAGCAGCCAACTAGTAGCCAGTTAGAGATCAAAATGGTTACAATACCGCCAGCATTGCAGACAGAAAATAAGGATGCAGAATCGAGTAATACATTGCTCAAATCACCAAAATTAGAAAATAAAGAAACATGCCCTAAATTATCAAACAGCACACCATTTGATACACCAAAGTTTAATCCAGCTCCAGCCCATACATCTCCTAAAATAAGGAGTCAAAAACCTGGAAGAAGAATCCAGTTGATTACATTATCAGCTCCAAAGAAAAAAAATTAAAATGCATTTAGAATATCACTTTTAAAAAAGTTGTGATTGCTATAAGTAACATATTGATATTAGTGTGTATAGTTACAAAAAGTGATCATTCCAATGAGATAGAAGATAAAAATGGTATGCTGAATATGCACTTTTTTATATTTTAATGTAAATTATATATAATGTTAAGATTTCAGGAAAAGATTTTAAAATCAGTCTATTATATTAATATAGATCTGATATCTAATAGTTATGTTTTTTTTTCCCACAGAATTTTAAAACTTCCTGAAGTCTTGCCTTTTATTGAAATTGTTAATTCATTTAAACAAAGTGTAACACAAACAAACAATCTTAAGTAAAATTAAGTTAAATTTATGTAAAGCTCTGAATGGAGTTACTTGTTTTAATAGATATTTCTAATAACTTCTATAAAAAGGACTTACTTTTACAGATTCAATTATTAAAGTTAATTATTTTTATATATTTGGTTGTTATAGTTACTAATTGAAATATTCTGAGTATTTAACAAGATTAATGAAAACAAAATCACATTCTATGTTTCTATTAGCTCTATTCTGACAATCTGATTAGTATATCACTATCAAACTTTCATCCAAACTTAGAGATAGGATTCAAAAACAAACACAAACACAAAAATAGATATTCCTGTCTTATGCAGTCTATCATTTCTTGTGGCCTGTCAGATGCCAAGGTGATTAAGGCATCAGCTTACTGCTCTGGAGACCTGGATTTGATTCCAGATCCCCAGAGCAGTAAGCTTGAAAACCATATGAGATTTTCAAGGGTGGTTGGTCACAGATATGTTGGATCCTCCCCCTTACCATTGTGGATCTGGCTAAATCAACCTTGAGAAAATCTCCTATGTGATCAAACGACAGAGTAAAAAACAAAATCCTAACAACTCGCATGTGGTATTTTATGTAATTGTTGGACATATTGCAGCAAATCCATTAACAAGGATGCAAACACTAGGAAACACTCTTGTGACATACCATATGAGAGTCTGTTAGATCCTGGATGGCTGCCAGTTGCATATGTATCAGCAATTACAAGCATTTGATTCAGCAGACTATGCTCACATGTCGCTTGGTAGTTCCTTCAGTAGTGCATTGAAGAATCTGGATTTTGCAAGCTGGTACTGTTTTCAGACAAAATGTCAATTACCAAAGAAGGCCTATTCAGTTCACAGAATGTCCATATTTACGATTATGGAATTTAGGATTATAAAAACCCCATGACATTCATTAATTTCAGAGCATTTCAATGTAGATTTGCCATCAATGTGTGGGCAGGAATTGTAGGGCAGCAGCCAGTGGAACCATACATGTTTCTGTCTTGTCTCAATGGCCTATTGTATCTCGTACTCTGCAGGAAGCATTGCTCAAACTTATGGAAGACGTTCCATTAAACATCCAATATCATGTAATTTCAGCATGAGGGGCACTAGCACACTTTAGTCCCATTGTTCAAAACCATCTGACATTACATTCAGAGACAGAGTGACAAAGGAGACTGGCATGCCTTCCACATTTTTTTGATCTGACACGTTGACATCTTTATGTGGGGCCATATAAAAGCACTTGTTTACAAGGCACTAGAGGGCCCACCAGTGGCCAAGCAGTCTTTGTACCCTGAACACTGGGAGTTCGGGCGTGGGTTTGCACCTTGCTCGGACAGGATGGCCACGTGGAGATTTCCAGGTTTTCTCCACATCTGTAACGCCTAGATAGGGGCCAGTTTCCCTTAGAAAGACTTCCTGTAAGGCATCGCCCCAGTGATGTGTTGCCATAACTTAACAAACAACAAGGAGACACTAGTCAACTGTGCTGAAGAACTAATAGTGCAAATTGTTATGGCTGGAGCAGAAATCCAGGACATCCTGCATATGTACTGCAGCACGGTTCAAAGATATACTGTAGTAGCAAAATTAGTGGCTGTCATTTCAAACACCTGTAAGCAGTGATTTTCATATTCTCAGTCCTTTCATTTTTGAAGTATAACACCAATGACATGTGCACTGGTACTGCACAGTTGCACTTTCATTCATATATACAGTATTAGCATGACAATGGTGAAAAACACAAATTTACATAAAAGTAAACAATTGTACAAACAAATTAACTTTTTTACAGTGTAAAATCCAACAATAGGTTTGTTAATTGTAAAATATTTCTCTGTTTAGACCAATAGCTGTATATGTTAGCAGAAATTTAATACTTAAACCTGTATTCATAGACATCTGTAGAAAATTTTTTGGGGGGTTTGGAGCTAAATAATTACATCAATCAATTTTTATTTAATTTTTTGGGGATTTTTTAAGACAGATAAACATCTCATGACTGAGGGTTTATGGTTACATATCTCAATCACTTTTATGATTATGATTTATGGAATTTTTTCACATTCACAGAGAAGATGCAAGTGTCCTCTTTGTCTTCCACCTGCAGACATACATGCCTGCAGTTAATATACTTGCAACCTGAACAATTTCTGCGTGTTGCACTTTCCCACTCAACAAACTTGCTATACAGGGTAGTGAACCTGGCAGCACTACCAAATTTTACTTCTGTCTTTTAACCCTTTCAATGCATTTAATTTCTCTTCCTCTTTTTTTTTAAATCATTCATCTTTGTTGTACTATATCTGCTCTTTCTTTTCTAAATATTTCTTAATAAACCACAAGGGTGGGTTGTCATTCTTTTTTTTCTGTTCTTTCTTTTGATTCTGCTTCTTCACTTGTGGAATTTCAAGTTCTTGGTTGAACCAAAGCAGATATTAAATTTTCATTTTCATTTGAATGAAAAACTATTTTGAGATGTGCAAGGCAGAGAACTTCTCAGATAATACCAGGGGGATTCACATTCAATCTATTTCCATAAACTTCATGAAATTTATGGAAAAATCCCATTTTATGGAACCACCACCTGACTCTCTTCATCTATCCACATTTTTCCTGTAGGTACACCTTAAATTTCACCACTTAGTATGACATTCTGTGGATTGAAATGTGTACCCACTTTGTTTTAGCAAGTCAGAAATCCTCTGCCATAATTTGTACTTCTGTATTTGTTTGAGGAATTCTTTGTCCATTTCTATCTAATCTTGTATCAATTAGTAAGAGAGTTGCTTGGCGAGACCTTTAGTTAGCTTAAAAATTAAAAAAAAAAGCCTTATATTATATTATAGTTTGCTATAATTTAATATATTCTTTATGTGAAATCTTTAACACAATCTTTTATATATAATACATACTGTTTTGATATTTTCAAGCAAATTTTTTTGAACTATTACATTTAAAAATAATTAATTTATGAACAAACCCTTATTCTAATAAATGTATCTTGTCTATATTTAATATAAAGCTGCTATTTACGATTATTTGTGCAATCTGAATTGAAAAAGAAAATCTCAATATATAATAATTACAAAGTACTTACTTTGTATTATTATTTACTATTTACTTACCAATTTTTCTGTTTCAGAAAGTTTTAAAGACAGCACATTTGTTTCCATTTGCTGAAATGTTGATTGTTCTATTGTTGAATATACATATACTGTATATACAAACGAATAAAACGGCAAAACCGTATTTGGGACAAGACTGTCCCGGAGACTCTCACTACTAAGTACTGTGAAAGTACATTTGACCGGAACGATATTTTTACTAACGGTAAATTTTATTTTCCAATGCATGACGAACATTTAATTGAAATGGTGCATCAACACCCTGTTCTATTTGATTTATCTCATTCGAAATACATGAACGTTGGGTACAAAATGAACATTTCTCTGTTTTGTTCAATAAAATATGAAATACATGTTAGAACATTCGAAAATATTCAAAAAATTTAGATTCGTCATCTATTAATTTTTTATAGAGAGTATGAAACTCTCCTGTTGTTCTTTTTTGTCCATGCTTGATGTACCCACTTGCGGCGCTTTCTTGATTGCATTTCTTTTTCTTCATCCTAACATATAGCTATCAGAAAAGTCCATAACCACTCACCGACAGCACGGTCGCATCACTTATGTGTAAATAGATCTTTACATCCGATGTCGAAATTTCTCTCCGTTGCGTGACCGCCCGGGTTGAATTTTTGTCGATGCCTAACGAAAATTTCCCGTTTTAGAAAAAATAATCGTGGCTATTGTATCGTCCGAAATTATTTTTTTATTTTACAAAAACAATATACAGTTTAATTATTATTGCCTTATTGTCCTTATTTCAATTCTTATTATATTTGTCAACTTGGACTTAAATTATTAATAGGACTGTTAAACTGGTGTTAAGTCCAAGTTGACAAATATTATAAGAATATACAAATTATTATAAAAGTTGCTTCTAGCCCTTGATATAATTATATTAATTAAATTATCCACAACCGTGAGGCAGATAATGGTGAGGGCTTATCAGACCAATGATGGGCACAAACGCTCAGGGATCAAAGTGAAAACAATTTAATAAACTCAAAAAAAATTGGTTTTTCGTTTTCACACTTATGTAGTAATTTTTTGAGTTTGACGAAAAACCAATTTTTTGAGTTGAGTAAACGAAAAACCAATTTTTTTTTGAGTTTATTAAATTGTTTTCACTTTGATCCCTGAGCGTTTGTGCCCATCATTGGTCTGATAAGCCCTCACCATTATCTGCCTCACGGTTGTGGATAATTTAATTAACATAATAAGAATATACAGTTTAACCCGATTATAACGTTATCGGATTTAACGACAATAACATCTTTAGCAGCGTGGCTAAAATCTGTATGTGGCACGTTGACCTCGACCACGTGTTCTGCCGGTAAAAATTAGCTGAGAAACTGATCCAGGAAAATAAAATACAGTACTTTATTTGGATCGGCTACGCGATATTTACAAGTGTCGAGATATAATACAAATCAAATTTTTATCGGTACCAAGATTTTACTACACTAATGTTAAAAAACCCACTTGTAACGACATAAAACCCTGTTTTAACGTCATATTTGAAGCCCTCCCAGATTTACAAATTTTATTTAACAAAGAAGATACTACGTGTTCAGTCCTAGTAAGGTCCAAGGACCTTGAGTAGAGTCAGAGTCCACTTCCTAGAACGACTGTGGGTGGTACTCTCACCACCTGACTTCGGTGGGGTGAGGTGCCTATTTGTAGAAAGAGTGTCGCCTTTTTGTATTTTATTTTGACTCGGTTCTCGGTCCCCTGACTATCTACAAGTCTGTTTTTTTTTATGCGCGCATGATTTGGTACCTAATACTCT